ATTCCTTGAAACCGATCTCCATGTCAAGGCGAGGACTTCACACCATGGAAACGATGACTGAAATATTGCATTGCTACTGAACCTGCAGTAAAGATGGCTGACGTCTGGCAATATATAATTCAACCGAGATCCATCATTGCACCACATTATCTTAAGTAACGAATAATATTATAGAGTAATATTTTAAAGCAAGCTTATCAAACCTGTACTCAGTGACATTTCTGCACAAAAGTTCACTAGCTGGTTTACATCTGTGAGACTTAATTTTAAATTGGGTTTGAGTGAACACATGGGCTCGAAATTTTCTGATCTAAATTTTACTTGATTTGATTACAATTTAATAAAAAATGGATGGCACACAAGCTTTATTCTTCGATCTTTGTCTTAGATTTCGTCGTCGCTGCACAAGGTATAGGTGCAGTAACAATCAATAAATTAGTGACTCAAAAACACTAAAATAATTTTAGGAATACTGAGGTACATACTGCACATTCATTTTTCGTAGTTTCTATTAATTATAGATCTTTTATATTTACTCAATTGCGCTTATTATTATTTTATTTTTTATTTCATTGTTTTATTTTTCATTTTTACGGGTCACGTGTTTATTAAAATTTTTAGAGCATTTTCTCAGTCATGGAAAAAATGCACTATTGTGCTCGCCATGTTCGTCTGTCCATCCGTCTGTCTGTCCGTCCGTGACTTCACGTTTTCGTCGACGAGAAAATGTGCTCTCTGTCACTCACTGCAGCGAGTACTGAGTTATATTTTTTTGAAGTGCGACTCCATTGTCGATATCACATGTGTATGCTGAATTGATTTCCGCTGAGCCTCATTCTTGCATGACTCAATCCAATATCAATCCAAACTTAATACCAACGTCAATCCGTTGTCCTGATGCTGAGAGTTTTGACTTTAGAAAACCTTTAATTTATTTCTGTTACTCATATTTTGGGTAAGATTTAATAGGGTAATAAGCATAAGTTGTTTATTCACTTGCAGGTAACTCATGTGATCCTGATTGCTCGGACTCTCTCAGGTCTCTTCAAGCTCATCCTAAAAAATGTCAGAAATTCTAGTGTGCTGGCGTCGGTTCAAACCTATTCTGCTAACTTGCCCCTGAAAGTCAAATTTATCGCCCCTGAATCACGCTTGCCAGCAACCAAGCTCTGTGAACTGCACCAATGACCCGACCATCGAATGTAAAGATAACGAATTAATGAAATATTAGTTCAGGAAGAGAGCTTCCAGATGCCTTTTCAACAAAATTTTCATATCCTACAATTCACCGGTAAATCTACAAACTGATTAGGACAGATATGAGGCCACTGAACCACAGGATTTAAAGCTTGCTGACTTGTTGCAAGACGAAAGACATTTCTACGAGTCCTCCGAATCGGATGAATCAAGTTCACTACCTACAAAAATGATTATCGTGAGAAGAGTCTAAGCCTCTAAGAGAAATTAAGAAACATCCAGTGATGTAGACATAGTAATAAATTTCTCCTTATGACGCATTTTCGAGAACTTTCATGATTAGCGCCTAGGATTTTGATCACATCAAATTTTGAAACTACTTTCAATAATATGTACTCCAGTAATAATTTATGACGCTTGGGCGACCAATTCTCCAAAGACTGCCGTGATCGCTGCCATACCAATAGACGAAACATTTATCACCGACACTCATGAATCATGCAGCCCAACGTGCATCGACGACTGGATCATTCCGCATACAAGGTTCTTCCTTTTCTCCAACTTCGTCTCCTAGGAAATCTTCCTTCGTCGCCAGGACGGCGCGTCCGAATTCTCTTCTATGCTACATGCAGAAGGTGTGGCAACCATTTTCTCAACGCAGTTGTTAGCTTATCGTTATTTCGACGTTGGTCAATATTGATATATTGAATTTAGTGAAAAAAATATCGACGCCGTTCCCATAGCGCATTGAAAATGGGTGGTGATTGGGCACTAGGACCACACTACCGTAAGAATTTATTTAGATCCGCTAATGGCGGATCAAAATTGGTCTTGTAAAAGAATGACATGGCACATAAATGGTCTGTTTAGCGAAAAATGAAACCTAACTGATGAGTTATGGAATGCATTTCCGGAGCTACTTTTGGTCGCCGCGGTACGCAAATCTTTGAACGAGTGTTCAACCTATTGGTAAACATCTCACAAGGTCGATACGATAAAACTAATTAATTTGCATCTTAACTTGTTCTCTCGTGAACATTCAACGGCTATAATTTTATTTGCTAATAGCCTTAAATCAATTATCATCGCACGAAATGAAATTTCTATCAATAAATCAATAAATATTAGTTAGTCAATTTTTTATTTATCGGCAGAAGTGTGAGTAAAGATGAGCGGGTCGACATAATTAAATAATACGTGCTATTTGACATTCAACAGCACTCTTGCCCATTATATCTTAACAATTCTAATCAGGTACCAAATAAACAGGCAGGGCGTATATTGCTGAGGAGGTTGCGTGTGACTACAAGTTAACCCAGCGTGTCGGGTATAACTGAACAGGGAGGCGAGTTAACAAGATGTGCAGGATTATCTCGGTAGCATGTTAACATGAGGCTGTAGTTGATTTTTCTTTTCCGGTTATCTAAAATATCGGAAGACGTATATCATTAAGAAATATATCGCACGTAGACGCAACAAAAAAAAAAAAAAGTTGTAACGAGGAAACTGCATAAATAAGAACATTCATAGACGTTTCGGTCATCTATTCTATACAAAACAAGTCCATGTCCGCAGATATAACATAACATAACATAGTGATGTCGGCTCTGAAGTGTAGGCCTGATGTGGCCTATCGCCGATTCTTTTCCATTTCGTGCCTTGTTCATAGATCTAAACTCGTGTCATTTGACCGGATCTTTTCATGACTGGCGATAGTTTGAAGTAGCTACTAGACTAGGTGAGCAGTCAAGTGATCGATAATCCTATCCCTCACAACAGATTCCATCAGCTTACAAACAACACTTGTCAGACTGACAGGGCGATAGTTGCCGGGGCTGCTTTTGTCACCTTTTTTGAACAATGGTGTTACTTGAGCTTCTTTCCAGTCGGACGGCAAAGTTCCTTCGTTCAAGGTTTCTTGAAAGAATACTGTCAATGGGCCGACCAGAACGGATGCTAATTCTTTGAGCAATCTGGGAGTATTGCTATAAAGAGTATTGTGATGCAAATTTATGATAAATAATAGTCTCTACTAATATAAAAGACATAAAAATGAATATCCTTTTTGTGCATACGATTCAAATAATGTATCACAGGAATTTTCGACTGATACAAAATGTCAGCATTCGAACAGTTGCACCTGCTCGCTACAAATGACGAGACTCTGTCCTATTCACAAAAAAGTAAATTTTGGTCACAGAGGTTACAAATTTGCAGGATTTTTTGGAATGTGCTCTGTTTTACTAAGATATGATTGTTAATCAGCGTGTGAAGCGAAGACATCATCGTTAATCCGTTCTCTACCATTACATAGTCAGCGTGTGAAGTGAAGACACCATAGTTAATCCGTTCTCTACCATTACATAATCAGCGTGTGAAGTGAAGACATCATCGTTAATCAGTTCTCTACCATTACATAATCAGCGTGTGAAGTGAAGACATCCGTTCTCTACCATTACATAATCAGCGTGTGAAGTGAAGACATCATCGTTAGTTCTCTACCATTACATAATCAGCGTGTGAAGTGAAGACATCATCGTTAATCAGTTCTCTACCATTACATAATCAGCGTGTGAAGTGAAGACATCATCGTTAATCAGTTCTCTACCATTACATAATCAGCGTGTGAAGCGACACCTCGTCTACCAGAACACGCATCTGCACAGGCATGAATAAAACGCTACTGCAAGATAAAAGTATCTCGCCACGTGTCATTACTAATGTTCAAAACGATAAAAATTATAACAAATCTTGAACTCTCTACATGCCATTAGTTCATAACAAAATGTTCTTCCATTCATATTTTTATGTTCAAGATGGATTTCTGGATACTGAAATTGCAAGTTTCAGTTTGTTTAATTGTTTTAAGTGTTCTAGATGACGTCAATTGATCGGCTGGTTTTCCCAATGAAGCGACAATGACCTGATAGCGAGCAGACAGCTCAAGATAAGAACAATTATAAGTGTTCTTAGTGTTAGTAAGTTCCTTTTACATGACGTTGTTTAGCTGTTAAGCTTTGACGTATTGCGTCACGACTTTAGAAACAGGTCAATTATTCGAGATGCTTCCTCAGTCATCCGCATAATGGAGCCAATATGGCACTTCACACCCTCAAAATTTATAAAGACAGCTGGTGTAATTTTTTGTAGTGCAATGAGTAAACGCAATATCTTTTAACAACTGCATTTCCTATTGACGGAGGGAATGCAGTTTTCAGGCACATAATATAACACAGGAGTCGCACTGAAGTACGTCAGCGTTTACAATGTAGTTGTTGAACATTTTATGACGCTCTACAAAACTGACGTCATCTACAACGACGTTAAAACCAACCATTAAGGATAAAAATTTCAAGAGTGCCAAGACGCCGTTAATTTTTCTTACTGATGGCTATATTATTTTGTAAGAAATTATAGCCGTTAAAATTCACATATATTTTATTGTGTTTTATCTTCCAGGTTTTTCAGTTCGAAAATGAATTATTGAAAATGCTGGATAAAACTAAAAACAATAAGATACTATATTAGTTTCAAAAAAAATTTATTTTAATATCTCTTACGTTCAAAATATATGGCAATAAAATTATTGTGAACCCACTTGAAAAACAGACCATGGTGGAAAATTTATTACCTTGCGGGCGACATTATGAAGTTTTATTGACCGCGGCATTCCTTGAAGCCGACCTCCATGTCAACAAGAGAAGACTTCACACCATGGAAACTGTGACTGAAATATTGCATTGCTACTCAACCTGCAGTAAAGATGGCTGACGTCAGGATCTATGTATATAACTCACCGAGTGAAGTCTGGGTCTATATAATGTGCCGCGACCCACCACACCATCATTCAGCCAAAATTGAACTCCTGAGAGCCACGTAGGACATTGGTGTTTATTTGGAAACCTTGCGCTACGAGTTAAAGACATGAAGACATTTGTGCTACTCGCCATCTTCGCAGCTGCGGTCGCCGCTCAAGGTAATTCAGATACTCATGAAAAATTGTACAGCCAAGGACTAAAATTAGCATAGTCTTCGACTCTTCAAAAATGTCATTAATTTTGCATTTGGTGCAGTATTTGCTTAATGCAAATTCAGTACCTTGCTTATCATCTCCAAACAAATGGAATCTATAAGCAAGGTAATATTAATTTCATGTTATTTTCTTACTCAACAATATCTGTCTGATTGGACCTTCGCGTTTACCGTCAACAGAGTTCAACTACACTGACCCAACTACTGGACATGAGACAACTCAGACAACGCATCATCAGGATACCACCGAATCCGCTGCTTCACATGGCGAGACCAACGAAACAACTTCCACTGCAGCACCAAAATGCCGCCCCCCTTGCACCGAAGACTGGATTATGCCTCATCCCAGGGACTGCACCAAGTTCTTCCTTTGCTCTAACTCCGTCCCGTACGAGATGGACTGCCCTGCCAAACTACACTACTCAGAGGAACTTAGGAGGTGTGACTACCCTGCTGAGGCGGGGTGCACCGCATACCCCACAGCACCCTGTGGAGAATTTTAGTCGGAGTGCACTCCGCTTCATCAACCGCTTGGTAATTGATCATCGTTACTGTTGAAAATTTTTCATACGTGCAGAATTGGTCTTTAAAGAACATTGTTCCATTTGAGCTGTCATAATGTTCTATGCTTATTATTTTCACAACTTGAGTCAATGCTCTATACTCTTTTTCATAGCTTTGGTAGTTCTATTCTAATTTGAGATCTCGTATCAGCTTTCGAAACTGATCTAGCTATACTGTATCCGGTGCCTTTCACTTTTCTGTAGCTCCGTACACATTATGCATGCAGACACATGTACTGAAAAAATTTCCGACATTTTATTTACGTATATAACCATTGGTTGGTTTTTAATTACAAACGGTAAAAATTATATCCCTAATTTCTCAAGAAGACCAATCGGTAAGCATTTCTTATTTCGTATAATAGAGGCAATAGAAAAAGATACAATTCTCCCTGTTTTGAGAGTAAAGATTATTTCCATTTAAATTCTCCGTTACTCTCGAAAAGATGCGATATAATTTTCTTATTTCTGACTTGGTGTGAGTGAAGCCTCTTGTTGGGATATTCAGAGTAAATTGTCTCAATAATATGTTCTCTGGCTGACATGTTTGAAATTGTTCTTTTTACAGAGAAGTTAAGACAATAAATTTAAGCTACTTGTTGGTTGTAATCTCCTGATTATTCGGGATGTATCTCCTGATAATCTTATATTCAATAAATTTACTCCTTGAATTACGTATTTCCATTGACATAGACTCAGCACAGGGGTGCAGATTTTGCAACTCGACTATCAGAATTTAAAGGGAACCAATACGTACGTATAGTAATAAAAATGAAAACAAACAATTATCATACATTTTAAGGTGGAAGGAGAACCATCAGCGCATCAGACAAGCTTTATTGAAATTTCGCGTCTAAGATTCGGCAGTTAGAGTGTTAGTTAGCAAACACCCTACATTTTCGCCAATTTCCCAGAGACAAAAATCTCGAAAATGCGAATTTCGTCCAATATACTCTAAAACATCGAAGTAATTCTTTGAGTAGCGAGCAACAAATTGATGATGAAAAATACTGAACGTGTAGGTAGTTTTTACTATCTTCAAGTCAAGAATACGCTTTCCTTTTGCTTTTTTCAGAGCGTTGCCTAAATGTGCTTAGAGTTAATGGTAACTTGGATCACAAAGATCCTTCACTTAAAGCTAATGTAAAGAAATCTCTCAAGTACGTAGGTACTTGAGAGATTTCGTAGGTATTCGGCTCCCAATAACTGAACGGAGATGAGAACAACCGAGCCAGCAGCTTACCTGGAACGTACTATAACTAGATCTTAATAGCTTTATAAATTAAACCAATGAGTACCGAATAAGAAACCAATCCCAGTACAGATGAAGATAGTTGAATTTTCGACGCATTTAATGCCCTTAGGGAACCAGTACGTCCCTCGAATTTTTTGGAGTCTGTATAAACAAATTTACTCTCCACACATATGTAAAGTTTCAAGTATTCAAGGAGAATGCATAGTGTAGAGTAGACACTGCATGAATAGAATTGAGGGAGGATATTCATTAATCTGACGAAAAACTGATGAGACAACTAACATAAAGGGAGGCTTCGTATACAAATGTTAAGACAATGTGATGTAAACTTCGTCGTAAAAATTATCAGCAACAGGACGACGCCTCAACTCGTGCCATCATGGCACTTAAAAACCACCTAAAGCTGAGAATTTGATCACTAATTCTATGAGCTTAATTTAATCTTAAAAAATGCAAGCTATAAGTTAATTACACTAGAAGGCGAGACAATAAATAGACATTGGAACAAGGCACTACTTTCAAGAAATCAAACTGATTGGCACAAACACGCAAATGTTCAAACGTTACTCCAGTTTGCCATCTCTTAGCTCCTACAGGAAGAATCACACATATACGAACACGCAGTTGATATTGAATCACACATGCAGTATCATCATCATTGGTGTGAATTGGAGTTACAGTTGATGGCATCAAGGGCATCATTAGGAGTCCCATCGAGGGCATCAACATCATTTGTGCGATGGTTATCATTATCAATGCTAGTTCCCGCGTTACCAGTGGATTGTTGGACTCCATCACAAGCTGCATTGTCGTCACTGCCAGTTACACTCATTACGACGTCATTGCATGTGATGACGTCGGTGGAGACAACACTCAACTGCGCCGCTCTTCGACCCATTTTAGACCTGTTGGCGCGACCAGCATGACCTCCGCGATCATCACGAGTTTTACGATCTACATGAATTCCAGGAACACCACGACCTGCGGGATTGCCACGATTTGTACGATCTCCACGACCTGCAGGGTGTTCATGACTTGAAGAATCCCCACGAACTGCAGTGTCTTCCAGACCAGAAAGGTCTTCCAGACCAGAAGGGCCTTCCACACCAGAAGGGCCTTCCACACCAGAAGGGTCTTCCGCACCAGAAGGGCCTTCTACACCAGAAGGGTCTTCCGCACCAGAAGGGCCTTCTACACCAGAAGGGTCTTCCGCACCAGAAGGGTCTTTCACACCAGAAGGGTCTTCCACACCAGAAGGGTCTTCCACACCAGAAGGGTCTTCCATACCAGAAGGATCTTCTACACCAGAAGGGTCTCCAAAACCAGACCGATCTCCTATATTCACAAGATATCCACGAGCACGATTTGTTTCACGGGCGTTGTCCCTGAAGCCGTCAATGTCGCAAGAAGTACCGCGAAGATCAAAAACACAAGGACCATCAGACGAGCAATTATTACGACCCACGTCACTACTGACGCTGGATGCAGCTGCCCTACCAGCCCCAAGTCTATGACTTGAGCCTGAAACAGGTACTACATCACTCCTTTCCCCAATGATCTCATTCAGTCTTTCAATTTCATTCACAAAATCACCACTTGTTCTGGGATTTTCATCCATCGTCGAGCCTGAAACATGAACTAGATCACTCATTTCCGCAATGATCTCATCCATTCTTTCAATATCATTCACAGGAGCACCACTTGTTCTGGGGTTTTCATCCATTGTAGGAGAATCCAAGCCCAATTCACTTCTCGAAGGAATTGGTTCTCCTTGCCTGCAATTATTTTGATTAAATCCCTGCAATAATTCGTTGAACGCTCTCATTTCTACAGGATCCAGAACGTACAGATGAGAGTTCGAGTATATGTACGTCATGTTGCTGTAAGATTCGTCATTACTGCTGCACTGGTGGAGGTGCGAAGGGTCAGTGCGATAATCAACAGTTTGGGAACCTACTTCAGGTAGTGTGTACGGTGCTATGTTGCATCCTGTTCTTCCCAAGCTTCTTATGCTCGACCAACATTGCTGAGGAATTTCGTTGGAATAATCACGGGAAGGACTGCTACCTGGACGGTAGGACGTGACGAGACTTGGTGGTATGATTCGATCAATAAAGTTCTGCAATGACGAAGAGGATAACTCATCCAACACCTCGGGAAATCTGTAGGCAAGAGGAGGGGAATTGGAAGGATGGCGGTTGTAAGGATTTGGATTGGATGGATGTGGATTGGATGGATGTGGGTTGGATGGATGTGGATTGGATGGATGTGGATTGGATGGATGAGGATTTGATGGATGTGGATTGGATGGATGTGGATTGGATGGATGTGGAGATTGAAAAGAAGAGGGTCGGAACGACGGGGCTGGGAACGATCAGGGTCGGAACGACGGAGATTGAAAAGAAAAGGGTCGGAACGACGGGGCCGGGAACGATGAGGGTCGGAACGACGATGATGACGGTGATTAAAAAAATCACGGTCGGAATGTTGGCGACCAGGACGAAGGAGACTGGCAAGCCAATTACGGGGTCGACCCATACTGTCTCTCTCAATAGGATCGTTGGTGGCAGTTCTGGCAAGGTAGCGTTCCCTCTCTATCGAAACATGGCCCGTACGCGCGGCCAATTCACGATACAAGTCATCATCCCTTGCAGGAACGAGTACGTAAGGCATCCGCAAACGCATTTCCTCCAGGGGGCTATGCGACATATGAGTTTGTTCATCAGATGAATGTTCATCACTTGTGCCATCGCTTGGCCCAGACTCATCAGCTTGGTTCCTGATGCGATTGGCAGCTTCGTGAGATGATGATTGGCGATTATCGCCTGACGGCGAAGGTGTAACATCAGCACGCAAAAGTCGCGATAGTCTTCTGGCCGACTGTCGTTCGGCAGTTTCTCTCTCATCTTCTGTGCGCATTCTGATCATACTAGTCAGACTTTCCGCGAATCTCTCCGGATAAACGGAAATCGAACTGAATTGTGGTAAACTGCCCGCCATGGGCATCGTGGGATCAGAAAAGTCTATAGCTTTCGTCGGAGAGCGATTCGTTCTACTCTTCTTCTGGCGTTCCGTAAAGAATCTGAAAAATAACGAAATGAACAAAGCTTTCACAAAGTTCCACGCAAGATCGAATTGTCAACAAAAAATACATCGTACCTAATGGCGCAAAAAAAAAAAAACATCAGAAAATATTAGACTGCGCTGACATAAACGAACAACAGAATTTTGAAAAATATTGTCCACCGGGCAGAGAGGCGGACTGCGAGGGGCGCCTACCGTCCACCGGGCAGAGGGGCGGACTGCGAGGGGCGCCTACCGTCCATCGGGCAGAGGGGCGGAGCGCAAAGGACACCTACCGTCCACCAGGCAGAGGGGCGGAGCGCAAAGGACACCTACCGTCCACCAGGCAGAGGGGCGGAGCGCAAAGGACACCTACCGTCCACCAGGCAGAGGGGCGGAGCGCAAAGGACACCTACCGTCCACCAGGCAGAGGGGCGGAGCGCAAAGGACACCTACCGTCCACCAGGCAGAGGGGCGGAGCGCAAAGGACACCTACCGTCCACCAGGCAGAGGGGCGGAGCGCAAAGGACACCTACCGTCCACCAGGCAGAGGGGCGGAGCGCAAAGGACACCTACCGTCCACCAGGCAGAGGGGCGGAGCGCAAAGGACACCTACCGTCCACCAGGCAGAGGGGCGGAGCGCAAAGGACACCTACCGTCCACCAGGCAGAGGGGCGGAGCGCAAAGGACACCTACCGTCCACCAGGCAGAGGGGCGGAGCGCAAAGGACACCTACCGTCCACCAGGCAGAGGGGCGGAGCGCAAAGGACACCTACCGTCCACCAGGCAGAGGGGCGGAGCGCAAAGGACACCTACCGTCCACCAGGCAGAGGGGCGGAGCGCAAAGGACACCTACCGTCCACCAGGCAGAGGGGCGGAGCGCAAAGGACACCTACCGTCCACCAGGCAGAGGGGCGGAGCGCAAAGGACACCTACCGTCCACCAGGCAGAGGGGCGGAGCGCAAAGGACACCTACCGTCCACCAGGCAGAGGGGCGGAGCGCAAAGGACACCTACCGTCCACCAGGCAGAGGGGCGGAGCGCAAAGGACACCTACCGTCCACCAGGCAGAGGGGCGGAGCGCAAAGGACACCTACCGTCCACCAGGCAGAGGGGCGGAGCGCAAAGGACACCTACCGTCCACCAGGCAGAGGGGCGGAGCGCAAAGGACACCTACCGTCCACCAGGCAGAGGGGCGGAGCGCAAAGGACACCTACCGTCTACCAGGCCGAGGGGCGGAGCGCAAAGGACACCTACCGTCTACCGGGCCGAGGGGCGGAGCGCAAAGAACACCTACCGTCTACCGGGCCGAGGGGCGGAGCGCAAAGGACACCTACCGTCTACCGGGCAGAGGGGCGGAGCGCGAGGGACACCTACCGTCCACCGGGCAGAGGGGCGGAGCGCAAAGGACACCTACCGTCTGGCAGGCCAGGTGGTCTTGAGGCGCCAGCGCTGCAGGCGGTTCTTGTCCTTCCAGCGATGCTGCTGGTGTATCAGCACCTCTTGAGCCACGCGCGCCGCCCGCCTGCCACACAAGCACGCCACGTGTCAGTGAGACAGATATAAGCTTTCTTAGAATCCATACTAAATATTCTTAGGAATCAGAAATAAGAATTATTGGGATGAGAACTTCAAATGTGAATTCCAGAAAGTGTTACGTCAAAAATCTGTACTTAAAAATCGGATGTTAATGATTCGGTAAATCGAGAATTAGTTTTATACGGATAATTATTGGGTCTGGGTATTATTAGTACTTAATAAATCATAAATAAAGTCATTAGTTTCTCAAAACGAGCAGAAATTCGCAAACCAGTACTTCAAATCAGACAGTTATTTCTTTAGAATAGATTAACTTGCAATGCGCATTCTTGACACGTGTGATCTGTTATGCATTTTAGATCGCCAGTCACGAGTATGAACACTGCAACAGCCTGCATCTTGTAATGTAACTAGGCATATGTAATAACAATTTGGCATCTTCATAACAACAACAGGGGCATCTTCATAACAATAACAGGGGCATCTTCATAACAGTAACAGGGGCATCTTCATAACAATAACAGGGGCATCTTCATAACAATAACAGGAGCGTCTTCATAACAATAACAGGGGCATCTTCATAACAATAACAGGAGCGTCTTCATAACTATAACCAGGGCATTAACATAACAATAACCGGGGCATCTACATAACAATAACAGTGGCATTAACCTAACCACAATAATTACCTGTGAATCCGACGATCCAGGCGCTGAGCACGTCTTCTGCCGTCCTGCTGGCGACGCTTGACGGCGATGAGGCGCAGCATCTGCTCGTATGGCTGCAGCTCTGCCGTCGGGACGCCCGTCCGCACGTCCGGAGGATCGGGGACCTCGTCGTCTGACTCACTGCTGCTGCTGCTGCTGCTGCTGATGGTGCGGGTTGGCCGACGTTGGCCGCTGTTGTTACTGACGTTGCGTAGCGGAACTGGCCAGCGCTGATGGCTATAGTTATTGTCGCGGCGTTGCGTGACGTTGCTGCGTCCAGAAGTGTAGTTATTAGAGAGGGTAGATGATCCGCGTGATGTCGTGCGAGTGAGTGAGTTTGTATCTCTGTATAAATCATCATTCGCATTTCCCCCGGCACTAGCATTGTTGATATCATTAGTACGGTCACTCATGTCGATATCATCACGAGGCTCTTGGTGGTCACCAGCGCCTCCCACGGCCAGGTTTTCAACTCCACGTGAAACATCGTCCGCGATGCTCAGGGATCGGTCATCGTGGATGTCCTGGTCTGAACGTTCCAACGTACGGAGTACTTTACTTTCTGTGAGAGATTCGGTGTTTTCTTCTTCCAAATCGGGAAGAGCGAAAGATTCCTCGTCTCGTTTTCGTTTCAAGTTCTCGGACAAAAAATTTACTTCTTTCAAATGCGAAGACAATTCAGGGACTTCGTTTCTGCACGCAGTAGCACTCAAGTCAGGATTAGTCTCTTCTGCTGTAAATCTCGTGCCACAAGCCGCATTGCTGGAATTCACATTAATTTGATCGGATGACGCGGTACGACCAGTACATTGGTTTCTCCCACTGTCTGATCGACCAGCTATCCTGCACGCTGTAATCATGTTAGGAACATTATCACTGTTGTCATTAGGAACTCCAGCACCATCGGCATTAAAGTGCACTTCGTCGACGACTTCACTGCCTAACGCAGATTCTTCCGCAGCATTTACCATAAGCGCATTCTCAGCCACGCGTTCCGCGCGATAAGCTTGTCTGAGCCTAAGCGGCCTAGTCTGGCTATACCATTCACGTCGACCAACATCATCATCATTATAGTCATAAACGTTGCCGTCATAAAGCTGTTCCTGCTCGAGCAACATATTCTCCACATCAACACCGATAGCGGCGCAAAGCTCCAGCACTTGAGACAACGTCAGGAACGACGCTATAAGTCTAGACATTCGCCGCTGCAGGTAGCGATATTCGTCCTGGCCTGGGCGACGCACGAACCGGCAGCGCTTTCCAATGACTTCGCGGTCACGTGCATAACGTCGTTTCCGGTCGGGGCTCGAGACACGTTTTTCACGGTTGCGTCCGTGATAACGGTACGCAATTTTGTGCTTGTGAAGCAGGTTGTGACGATGGCGGTCATAAGTGCTTTCAGGGTTGAACCCAAGATTGACGATATTCAACAGACCATCGTAATCATCATGACCTGATTCAACAATTCGACGACTCGGCCTGGGAACCTCAGAACTGTGGTCATTTACTATTGGGTTCAAATTCCCTTGGCGAGATTCAAGCGGCAGATCAGTGCGCTGCATTCCTTGAACATTATTTTGTTGCCTTGGGTCAGAGATACTAGATTGCATAGGCCCCACCCTTTGTGAAGAGCCCTGAACTTGGTCTGGTTGACCGCTTGATTGTAGAGATGGCGAAGATGATGCACCTAATGCAGCGTCATTCAAACTTGAATGATGTCTTTCCGACTCAATGATACGTTTAATTTCCGACTCGATAACTGTTTTCCTTTCCGTAGGGCCAATGACTCGATTACTTTCGGAATCAAGACATTTGCTATTATCTGGTCGACTCGCCCGATTACTATCTGGTGCAATTCCTCCACTACTCTCAGGGCCACTTACTTCAGTACTATCTGATTCAACTACTCGACTATTTGTCGCACTTTGAGTTCGACCCTGCAGCGCACGCAGCCTAATTGCCTCCATGGTCTTGTTTCCATTAAAGTTGTTTGCACTTGAAAGGCTTGCCGTGCATCCAGCGTCCTGGCCTGTTTGGGAGCTGCTAGGCATCAGGCAGCTACCAGTCGTCTCTGACGACATTGTAAAATTATTTTTAGGCCGACAACCCATGAGGGCGTATAATTTTTCCGTTGAGTTTTGTTCAATTTCTTGATCGTTGTCACTACTTTCAGTTTCGGACGAGCTTGGACTCTCCGACTGATCCGACAGCGCAGCCAGCCCTTCGAGCTCCCGCTGGATGAGCGAGTCAAAAAAGGCAAGCATGCGAGGGTCTTCCCTTGTGTTGCCGGATATGGTGTCGGGCGCCTCGTCCTTTATAAATTCGAAAATTTATGTTGGCAATAAAAGCGAAAACTGATGCTGAATTGTATGAATTTCATACGAAATCTGGATAACGTATTCCACAAATAATGTTATTATTCGTTCGATAATAAGCATTACAATAAGACTAATTAAATAAAAACAAAGATACAAAACCTTTGGATTAGATATTTAAATTAAAACCGAGCCGTACAGACAATCTCGACTTAGATGGAAGAAATATAACTCAGTACTCACTGCAGTGAGTGACAGAGAGCGCATTTTCTCGTCGACGAAAACGTGAAGTCACGGACGGACGGACGGACAGACGGACGGACATGGCGAGCACAATAGTGCATTTTTTTCATAAATGAGAAAATGCGCTAAAAAGATTATGATAAACAATTTGAAACAGTAGAGCTAGAACTATACAAGACTATAGGAGTAATATTTCAAGAGTCTCGTATTAATCACGTGAATATCAAGCAACAAGAAAGCCTCCGTAAGTGGTACAATAGGAACATACAGGGCGGTCGTCTTGCATGACGAGGCTGATGTACTGAGAGTGCGAGTACACGCGGCGGGTGGTGGGCCGCTTGCCTGATCCGCTGCCTCCAGGGAGCTTCAAGCTGCTCCAGATCTGTGTACAAGGAATGTACCGTTAAATGTACAACCACGAGTAGAATATTGTTTAATTTGGAAGATGAAAAACTGATCACTCTACCACAACCTATTGATCGGTATGCATAAGCAACATATCTTATCTAAGGTGACCTTCAGAATTAGAGATCTGCGTTATGTGACTTGTGAAATTTCGTTACACATTACAAAAACAGTGATTTTGTAAGGATAAGAAGTGTAAACCTAATTTGACAAGTAAAAAGTACGCAATATAATATGACAATATGTTCGGTCAATAGAAGCGGTTATTTAGGTACCATCAAACGCCTTGAGGATTAACCAATTTGAAGGCCAATTGCATGAAATTTATCTAATTGTTAATAAACAATTTCAAGACCGAATAAGAATTCGTTTAATTTTAAAACAAGGACTGTAAATATGAAAAAATTATTCGCTTCCAGTAAACTTTTGATTTTGTAGGGAATAAATTGTATATTTGGAATGGCTCACTGTCGTAATCAGTGCCCAGGAAGTTTAATAAATGCATTATTTCTACGATGGTGAGCCACCCTATTCAAGTTCTACTACAGGCATCATTTTCACTTCTCAAAAAAATTTACATTCTACAGTTTTTACACTTCTTGTGGAAGTGCGGACACATAAGTTCACAGTATCATAAGAAGTTTTAAGGTTCATTAAGCTCAAGATTACATATAGTTGTGTTCAAGAATAAATTTAAATAATGTGTAAATATTAGGCTAACTTAATAGTGTGAACTGATCATACTGAACCATTCGAGAGAGGAAGAGCTCGAGACTGAGGTGATGTTTCGGGGGGTGTTGCCAACACTAAAAGTTGTTCCCGCCCATAAGTCACTTTTACTGGGTGCCCCACTCCACGAGGAGGGCGTCTCCGCCGTTATCCGGGAGAAGCGGGAGGGCTTGGAGAGGATGGTGGAGCGTTTAAAATTAATTGATAGTCATCAAGCAT